TTTAGGACAGAGACATTTAATTCAGTTTGAGAGGGAAAAATTATGAAAATTGAAATTCTACTGAAAATTAAACGGTATTCAATATTTCTTAACAGCGTGAAGATAGAAACTTTCTTTTAAATGCTGATTCAAGCCATGAATATTCTGTACCTAATTTCTCTGTATTTTCGATTGATAAACCAATTATAATTATCCAAATCATTTAGGTCAGAGGAAAATAGAATGATTCAATTTCCTTAATGTTGTGTTTACTAAAATTTTCTCCAAATAACGTTGATTAGAATCAATAGCCAGAATTATCAGATTATCTGACATTTTTTACGTTAAGTATAGGAAAATCTGAATGCAACACAGTGAAAGTGACGATCTATTTTTTTACTTTGAACGAATAATACTAATATCTAAATTAAAAAATTCTATTATGATGAAAAAGCTATGACTCAATATTCCATAACAGCAGAGAACAAAAATGATGATATTTACGTAATATTATCTGAACCATTAGCATAAATTTTAAATTCATGAGAAAGGATGGAGAAGTCAAACAGTCATTTTAAGTTTTAATTTTTTATTCGGTGCTAAAAACATGAGGTGACGATATTCTAGGCACGAAATTGTATTGATAATATAATATAAACAGCAGATTAATTGAACTACCGAGTGAATTGAATTAAAAAAATTATAGCAGTANATGAGGTGACGATATTCTAGGCACGAAATTGTATTGATAATATAATATAAACAGCAGATTAATTGAACTACCGAGTAAATTGAATTAAAAAAATTATAGCAGTATTGGCACACACCTTTACCAGAGTATCACCAAACATTGAATTCCAGCACTTTACTCTTTGAATTATGTTCAAGAAGAAATTTCATTGTAATTATGATCAAAATCTCATTCAATGAGCATACGAATTACCACATGCGCAAATCATTTATTCCAATATGAAAATTTCACAGCTAATGAATAAATTTCACCGCTAACAATGAATCGAAATAAGAAATATTGAATCTGACACGGAAAAAAGGGTATAATGGAAGGGCCACCAATATCACGGCCGCAATCGCGTTAGAAATGTGAAAAGGTTGCCGGAAATAATAATGCAAATCCGAAAATATTGACACTTGGAATATGAAAATTTTAGGGTAGGCCTTATTCCCGATGTGAGCACTCATTAAGAGAATATTTTCAGAAATTAATTCATTCATTAATGAATACATATTTCAGCTTCTTTATAACATTCATCTCTGAAAAGGTGAATAGAGGATAATTTATAGAAACTTCAAGGAAGTTTGCAAGTTCCCTCAAAAATTAGAGAATCGTTAGCTTTTTCATCCAAATGTAGGATAATTTGGGAGTTTTCCAAAGAATTCAAAATAATTATGAGGTTTTCTAAAAAAAATTTGATAAAGTTCTCAAATGTTTTAGAATTTTTGGATAAACAATGGGAAAACAATTGAAAAGAAAAGGCGAAATTTCCTGAACAAAACTGATGTGAAGAGGTCACGTGACTGACTACTGCATTCTGATTGAAATGAGAAAGGAGAACCAAATTGAGAAATACCTCGGATTTTTACAACAATTGCACAAAAATTCTCAAAAAAAGTACTATTCAGGCAGACTTTTACAATAGAGGGTTAAACAATTGATTAACCGAGACGTATTGTTACCATTAATCTTCAGATATGAAAAAATTCAGTTGAAAATCCTAGCGAATTCTCTATACAATTCTATTGGATTTCTAGTGAACTTTCTATTAGCTTCTGGCTATTTCTATTGAAATGTTCAATAGAAAATATTCTGTAGAAAAACTCAATAGAAATATATTTTTCTATACAACTTATTCTATTGAGATATTTTCTATGAAATTCCCTCGGTTGAAATTTTCCAAGTTTTTTTCATTCTATTTTTTTTTGCATCAAGAAAATTGAACAAAAAAAACTTAGAGAATGTGAGCCAAGGAAATTCCACAGAAAATATCGCTGTAGAACAAGTTGCATAGAAAAATAGAATTCTATTGAGTTTTTCTATAGAATATGTTCTATTGAACATTTCGATGGAAACGGCCAAAAACTAGTAAAAAGTTCAGTAGAAATATAATAGAATAGAGTTTAGCGAATTCGCTAGGAATTTCTATGAAATTTTTTCGTGCGTGTTAACACTCAGTATAATGGAACGATGATGAATCATTAATTGTTAAAAGGAACAATAAAACAAGTAGTATGACGGAAGCTATTTGACAGATCACTCATGACTGTTACTTTTTGTGTAATTTTTTTTTCTTTAATTTTAGTTTCTACCAATTCCATTGGTAGTATGCTTCCGAATGGAACTCGATCCATGTTTCTTAGAAATAAAAACTTATTGATTGGTATTTTTGAGAATGTTATGGCCAACAATACTCAAATTTCATTACCTTTTGATGTACCATAGACTCTGCCCCTTTTATGTATGTACATTTTTTCTTCCACCCATTAAAATAGAGAAGCAGCAACATTTTGAAATTTAGCTGAATAATATTATACCTTGAGAGCGGAGTTACTGTTTTAAAAAATTTTAATCATTACTTTTTATGTTCAAGTAGTTGATTAGAATAAATAGGGAGTGAGAATAAGTAAATATGCGAAATACTAGTGGTTACATGGGTAGCGTGTGGCTGCGGTGGTCATAAAACCGTTACCTCATTTTCTCTATTTCTATAAAATGACAAAACAATTTTTTTTTTATGTGATATGCTCTTTCTAAGTCAGCCTAGAGTGAAAATGAACAGTTAAATATAGATGCGTTGATCCTTTTCTTCTTAAGAATCTTTGATAAATTGTTCTATCTCAGTAACTATTGAATATATTGATCTAAAATTGGATATAGGAATGTTATTTGACAATCCTAACTAGTAGTCAATGTTCCAAAAGGTTTCCCTGATTTTAATCCATGTTATAATGTTCAAGAGTGAATTCTGACCAAAAAAATACAAAAACGGCAATATCTTGAAAAGTTTCCATAGAGGGGTATACATATTTTGATTGATGCATATAGATGACATCAAGACAAACATTTTGAAAAAAAAGTTGAAATCGGTTGTACAGTTTTTGAGATATTGAGCAAAACAGTTTCACATAAAAAGTTGAATATCTCCAAAACTACTGGTCCGATTTTACTCATCCAAAATACCAAACTTTGTTATCACAAGACCTGAAATCCTACCAAGTTTGAAGTTTCTATCTCGATTATTTTTCAAGTTATCATGTTTACACGCAATTTCAGCGAAAAAATGAAAAAACGAGAATAAAGCCACATTGCTTGGGGTGTAATGGTCTTTTTTTAATCTATTTAGATAGGTATCATCACGACAAGTATTTTGAAAAAAAAAATCGAATCGATCGAATGGTTCAGGAGATATCGGCAAAAAACGATTTTTGAGGAATTGCTGTATCTCAGAAACCGCTAAACCGATCGAGCTGAAATTTAGCCCAGTTTTGAGTATCAATAGCACCAGGTAGCAGGCAAAATTTCAAGTTCTTTGCGCTAACCGTTCTCGAGTTAAGGGGGCAATTGGGGACATACGCATACACATGACCATACATGCATACATACATACAGACATTTTTTAAAAACATCATTTCTTCACGTTTCATGACATTTCTAGGCATTTCCACCCAAAATTAGGAAATCGAAAAAAATTACAATTACATAACTTCCATTCGGAAGCAAAAAGGCATAATAAAAGAGCATGTCATAGTGCTTGTCATAGGTATATACTTGAGATTATTAGCAAGTCAACATCAACGGAGCTGCAACTGATAAAATGCGTATCACATTAATTTTTTTCAGATAACTGCCGATTAATTGACATAAAGGCTGTAATGAGGACTCTGTGTATTTCGGTTTTTGGAACTCCTCATCTCTCATATACCTGCTACCAGCTACTTCCAGTGGATTTTTATAATTCCATCAAATTGATTCACTAAATCTTCGATCGATTAATTTGAGCTTCCAGTACATTCCACGAGAAATTACCAGAGATTCAATTGAGATTCACATAGCCCTCATTCTTTTATTGCTGATTCCAGTAATAAAAATCTGTAATATTGGACAGTTGGAAGGAAAATCTTGCAGAGGAAATTAATTTAACCAGTCGGAACAGTGAATCCTCTGCAACCGGGCCCACAGTTAATTATATATACATGAAAATTGTACATATGAATAAATTGACTTTGAAATATAATAGATTTGAACAATCTCCAATCTTCATATTTGCTTTTCGTCTCCAAACACATATTTTACCTCAATGAGATAACGAATATCTGTTTTCTTTTGAATTTCGTACAGTATTGAAATAGTAAAATATGAAGGACATTTCTCAATCCTAATGGTAAAATGACCACGCCCCACTTCGCACCACCAGAACCCCGCATGCGCACTAACGCCAAACTTAGTACCCTTTCCGGTAAGAGGGGCTCTGAGTGACCCTTCAATTTGCCTGAACCGCGCTTCAGAGGACAAGTCATCCAGTTAGTATAGAGATCAATGGCCATGACAGCCTACATGTAGTAGGACCCGGGTATAAGGGTCTCATTGCAGGAGCATTTTCAAATTCCCTGTTTTTAGCTACAGTTTCCATAAACTGAGGGATATATAGATATACATAGTCATAGTAGTTTTAGAACCACAGATCCATGATTACATAGACATGGTAGTTTTAGAACCACAGATCCATGATTTTATGGAAATTAGTAGTAGCTTATATGGAAATTACCAATTTGGTACATTTCGTGGATGCTTTCAACATAATTAATTCAATATTCCATTCTACAACGCAGCAATAACAGTGATTGAACCATTTTCTGCGAACGAAATTTTTTCATTTAATTTTTTCTTTATTTCAATATGAGAGAAATTCATCTGAGGCAAAGACATTCTCTTGTAATATTTTTACAGAGAATTTCCGATCAGATGCAAGAAATTCCTAGGATGATATTAAATTCTTCAAGCTCACCTTTTTTCGACTCCGGCCACCGTTCCTTCGGGATCCTCTCATCCACGTAATCCACGCCAGCATGAGCGAATATGAAACGTATGTGTTCGGCGCGTCCGCGGGCATTGAAATAGATTAGCTTGTAGGTAGGTTGTTCCTCTGTCATTTCGCTGTGTTCTTCTTGACTAGGATAGACCAAGGCCGGAGGAAAGAGATATTCGACTGTAATCTGAGGTTCTAATTTCGGAGGATAACCACACGTGAATCCAGTTGAAATCCCACTGCAATTCTAAAATAAATGTCGTGGTCAACAAAGTAGAACAAAAGTTTTTGGTGCTGTTATGAACTATGTGTAAGTGGGTCAAAGTGCGAATGAACGATAAATAGGGGAGTATTTGAGAGAAGTGAGGCAACTTTATACATTGTGCCAAAGAGCTTGAACCTGCATTTTTTTATTTTCTAAATAATCAGCGTTAGTTTCTATATTTGATAAAGAATTTCAATGCTCGAGCAGATAATTCTCGAATTTAGTATAAACATCATGTATTTTGCTTCGAAAAAACGTCTCTGTGTCAATTGAAAAATCTCGGGAGCTATGAGGGGTAATGGGTAAGGGTAATTTTTCATCAATTTAAAATTATCAATAAATTGTACAAGAGTTCTTTTTCATTCAAATAAAATTGATTATGGAGATTAAACACGATTATAAAGTTTTAGAAATTATGATATTTCATTCAGTAATAATTTAGTTNAGTGGGGGGGGGGGGGTCCCTGGACCCTCGTCTTGCGCCCGTACCCCGCCCCTCCCTAAACGTTACCACACTTTCGAGTTTAGCCTCGACATAAAATTTTGATATTTGGGTGATAAGCGGCAGGTTATGACTCGTGTGTATGTTGCACTCGCAAACGGTTCGTACAGCTAACTACACACTCCTCATAACTTGCAAGTCATCGCTCGTATATCACAATGTACTATAATACGTCGATTTTCTCTGCCTTCATCATTTCATCCACGAGTGCGTCCCTCTTGATAGATATGTCAGTTATACTGAAGCACCTTTACTGAGAAAAAAATCAAGGGTTCCTGCGGCAAAGAAATATTACTGAAGTCTTTCACGCGATAGGCACTATAATCCTTCAGTATATCCACATCCGTAAACACCGTCTTAATTTTTACGGATTCATGTGGACAGTACGAAGTTCCCTTAACAGTAGCAGCGCGGTAGTCTAGTACCCGAGTCAACATTTTAGCGGGTTTCCCGGCGTAGTTTCAACGTTTTGAACCTACACAGCTTTGATATCCAAATTCTCCGCCGAATTTTGACCGTACTGTCAACTTATCTCAACGTGAAGGCCCATGGACAATGAAAAACACTCAATATCCTCCGTATATTAATGGTACTCTCAACGTTCATGACGTTTGTTATCTGTTAACGTACGTTGTAAGTTTCGATGTCCACATTTGATTGTATCGAGGTCATTATTGACGGTAATTAAAAAATTCATTACCGTGTTGAAGACTCACGTAACTAAATTATTAGTGTTAGTACATTAATAACATTAGTTCGAAGTTCAAACAATTGTGCGTCTAAAAGGTGAGTTGGGTCCAAGGGTCAGAAGGGTTAGTTGAGTACAAGGATCAATTGAGTATAAGGGTCAAATGAGTATAAGGGTGAGTCCAAAAGATTACGCGAATCTAAGGGTCAGATAAGTGAAAGCCTCAGTTGAGATTGAATGGCAGTTGAGTTTAAAGGTGAGTTGAGCCTAAGGATCAAAAGAGTACGAAGGGTCAGGCGAATCCAGGGGTCTGTTTTGTAAGGGTCAGATAACTAAAAACCTTAGTTGAATTCAACTGTCAGTTGAATTTAAGGGCCAGTTGTGTGTAAGGGTCAGTTGAGTGTATGGGTCAGATGACAAACTCAACTGACACTTGAACACAATTGACCTTGAAACTGAACTGAAGCTTTTGCGTATCTGACCCTTGCTCAACAGACCCTCACATTCGCATGATCCTTCGGACTCAATTAATCCTTAGACCGATCTGACCGTTAAACTCAACTATCACTGACAATAAGACGCATCTAACCTTTAAACTCAACTGAGACTTCTACTTATCTGACACATACTCAACTGACCCTTATATTCCCCTGACCCTTCGTACCCTTTTGACCCTCAGTTTCGTGTGATTCTTCGGACTCGGCTAACCCTTATATCCATTTGGCCCTATGCTGAAGCTTTTACACTTATTGATAGAAAAAATCCATCTGGCCCTCATACTCATCTGATCCTTATACTCATCTGACCCTTAGATTCATTTGATCCTTAAACTCAATTGATCCTTAAACTCAACTGATGAGCCCGGTGGCTTGGTGCAGTGGATAAGTTCGTTGCCTCACATGCGAAAGGTTCCGGCCGTACCTTCAAATCCCGGCCGGGTAGAATGGTGCGATCTAACCATTTAAAGTCTTGATCATCATCGCAGTATACCCTAACCGGGTCGAAGCAATGTAAAATAACGATAGAAAAAAAAACTCAACTGATACTTGAACACAACTGATCCTTAAACTCAACTAAGCCTTTTACTTATCGGACCCTTACTGAACTGACCCTTACATTCGCCTGACCCTTCGTACTCTCTTGACCCTTAGGTTCAACTGACCCTTAGATTCGCGTGATCCTTCAGACTCAACTAACTCTTACACTTATCGGCTCTTTACACTCACTGACTATTATATGAAGGGCCCGACCCTTAGACGCCTTAGACCTATATGGACTCTAATCCCTCTCATCTCCTCCCCCTGCTCCTTTCCTCTTAATTTCCTGTATTACTCTATTGCCTACTTTCTTTCTGTTTTTTCCTATTTTTCTTCTTATTAGTCGCTTATATAAACCCGAAAAAATACAACTCGCCACAAGCAACTATACAGCTCAGAAGCATACCGGTATATCCTGCGATCACTGAGCTTGAGCAGTAGCGAGTGAAACCAGAAAAAGGATGGGTGACCGAAAGGAAACACGGCAGAACTACAAGCAGGGATATCTCGAGAACCAATGGACTGATCCTTTTTTTCTTTTTTTCTCATTTTTGTTCCACCGAGTTAATAATATTTATATTTTTGCCATTCTTCCACCGATTAATTTATGCAAGATTTAATCAATTAATCGATGTTAGAATGGAACTGGTAGTGTGAAGAGGGCAGGGGGGACGAAGGAAGGAAAGAATGTACGGTGGAGGAACGAGGGGATACGTTTAGTTTCAACCTAATTTCAACGTACAGTCTGAAAACAAGCAGGGGTTCGAGCCTTTTTGGCCGAAGCCATCTGACCGTTACTTTATATATTATAACTCTTTTTCATTCTTTTATTTCTACCAATTCCATCGGTAGTAAGTTTCCGAATGGATCTGTAGTAAAAAGAAAAATAAATGGAAACACCAAACGCGCTCAGATTAGATATCAACAATGTCAGTGGAAATAACTGCCTCCTGATCAAAAAACAGAGAAACGAAAATATCTCGAAAACTTTCTATCAACGGGTATATATGTTTTGATTGATTCGGATAGAAGGCATCAAAACAAATATTTTGAGAAAAAAAAATTGAAATCGGTTGCGTAGTTTTTAAGCCATTGCACATAAAAGGTTTTCAGAGAAAGTCGAATATCTCGGAAACTACCCATGCGATTGAGCTTATTTCCAATAGGAAGGATTATTATCATGAGAGGAAGATTCTTTCCAAATTTCAAGTTGATATCTTAATTTTTGCACAGGCTAGAGTGATTACAAGGATTTTTATGAAAAAACAGAAATACGGAAATATCTCGAAAACTTTGTATGAACGGGTATATATGTTTTGATTGATTCAGATAGAAGGCATCGAAATTAATTTTTTGAAAAAAGAATTGAAATCGGGCGACTAGCTTCGAAGATATTAGCGATAAAACGATTTACAAACATATAGCTTTTTCTCAAAAACTATTTGATCAATCGGGCTGAACTTTTGCACAGAGTAAGTCCTTGTTAAGGTCTATAATCTGACAAAATTTCAGATTTTTTGGAATAAGTTTAGCCAATTAATTACTCAATTTTCCAAAACTTGACCACCGGAAAGGTGGCGATGAACATTGACACCGATAGACATGGTCGCCACACTTCGTATTTTTACATTTCAGACCATTCTACATCATTTCCAATCAAAATTAGAGAATGTGAAAACAGCACGATTACAATGCTTCCATTCGGAAGCAAAAATAGAAAAAAAAAGACGGTATTAACGTCAAAAGTAGGTTGAATCGGTGCATTCGAGCCTGTACACTGGACAACAAATTTTGAACGTCCTAAATCCACCAGTGGACCTTGAAACTACGTTAGGAGACCCGGTAAAATTTCGACTCGAGTGGTTAGGGCGTAGGATTAGTAAACGTAGGAATTCATTAAGAGGGGCGATTGACAGCGAAAAAAGCAGATAATTTTTCGTTTTGAATTATACATTGTGTAACATGATGAAAATCATGTACTGTTCCTCGCCTGAACTGACCGCGGATCATGGGGGGAAAATTAGTCATTTACCCCAGCGAGGAGTCGGATCACCCAGAGCCACAGCTGTCAATTTTTTTTTATTTTTTTTATTTGACTATTTTCCTTCTGTCCATCATTCTATCGAACTCGGTCGATCCCGCTCACCGTGGGTTACGTGAGCTTCGAGACGAGGGAAGTGGAGCGGAGCCTCGGGGAGAGCTACAAGACGGCGCGATAGCTGAGGAGCAGCACACCGACGAGCACGCACACACCGAGTCTGGGAGACTCACACCACGTAGGACGCGAAAGACGATCGTAGCACGCCAGCAGGCATCTCAGGCCTCTACGTGCGAACCCCCACCACCTCACCGATGGATCGGCAGCACAAGGCCGTCCAGTAAAAAACCGATGTTACAGCATTGAGGGAGCATCGGATTATGTTGGCTTCTGCGCCGCTCAACGCGGATCACATCCACCGACCGCGAGGCGCAAGTTTCAGTTTCTGGGACTGAGGAATTGGGAATTAGGACCATTTTAAAATGCGAAAGTCAAAAATTGTCGAATCACTTGGATTCTTCGCGCTCATCACGTGATCGGGTGGGGGTAGGAGAAATTGAGGGGTTCCT